TACATGGTTTTATTTTATTTTATATTTTAATCAACAACAAGGTCAAAGATTTAGGTTGGAGATCACCCAGATAAAAGTACAAGCCATCCTCAAGGGAATGGGAGGAAAGGCTAGAAGGACCATGAGCACACAGGTCTGGCAACCTGTGCACAGTGAATTCTTGTCAATACCAAAACCTATCATTTCCCAGGAGCAAATCCTTCAAATAGGAGGCTAAATGTCACTTTGGTGTTTGGAATTTGTCCTTACGGCTCAGCTTGGAAGGAGTACAAATACAAATATGTACTGTACAAATACATACAAAATAATAGAAAATATAAGGTTTTGCACTACATATTTGTATTTGTACTCTTCCAAATGGAGCCTAAGGCTTTAATATAATGGTAGATGGCTAAATGGATTACTTACCATAAGTAGGTTGAAAATGGAGAGGTGGGTTATAAATTGGAACTTGAAGCCCAAGTTGGTAAACACTTGCCTCTATCCCCTGTATTTTTTCTGTAAGGGGACCGATAGAAGTCATTAGGTAGCCCCTTATTCTATTTTTGGTAATCAGTTTCCAGGCTTTTCTGTTTGCATATTTCTCAGTACACATTAGATCATCATCCATCATTAGGGACAGTTGTCAAGGTGCCTAGGCGAGCCTAGGCGGTGGAATTTGAAAGTATAAAGTAAATATTCCTACCCCTCTTAAGCTACTTTATTGCTTTTTTATACTAACCAACACACATCTATGCTAGCTATTAGCAATAAAATCATTCGAATAAAACATAAAATGCCATAGCTAGCATCCAGGCCAACAAAAATGGGGGAGTGCAGCTAAGAAAAGAGAGAAAATAAGGGGGCGGAGCCCCTGTTTTGTTCCCAACATAAGTTGTCCAAGAGGACGATGTGGACTGTGTTTAAGGGGGTGGAGACCCTGTTTCAGGCTAAAAGAAATATCGGAGGATTGTTAAAAGTAAGAAAGGAGGAGTACCAGTGTGATTTTAGGAAGGAGGAGGAGGCGAAGCCCCTGTTTCATCCCAAAAATATTTCTTCATTAAAGAAGAAGAAGAAGAAGAAGAAGAGGAAGAAGAAGAAGAAGAAGAAACATACCTGGAGGTCTTGGACTACTTGGACTGAACAATGGATCTCAGTCCTCAAATTTCATACAAGATTCTCTCATAACAGAAGGAGGAGGCGAAGCCCCTGTTTCATCCCAAAATTATTTCTTAAAGAGGAAGAAGAAGAAACGTACCTGGAGGTCTTGACTGAACAAGGAAACTTTGCAGTCCTCAAATTTCATACAAGTTTCTCTCATTAAGCAGGAGGAGGAGGAGGGTACCTGGAGGTCTTGGACTACATGGACTGAACAATGGAAATTTCTCAGTCCTCAAATTTCATACAAGATTCTCTCATTAAGCAGAACACAACATTGTCCCTGTTGGTGATATAAAAAGTTTCTCCCATCGAATAGTGGAGGCATGCCTTTGGACCTAATGGAAGCCATATGTTTGTCATGGGATGAAATTTCATTAAAGCATTCTATGATTTTTTGAATGAAGAGTGGGTCCAAGGAGGTTCTTACTGGTCAATGGCTATCATTAATGTAGTCATGTTTATAGATTTGGAGGAAACAAAGTCACATTTTTTTTTATGGGAACTAGTCCTTGTCTCAAGCATTGAGAAGGCTGGTGATGACTCGACCTAAAAAGAACTTAAAGGGGGGGGGGTCTTCCCCAATGATATTCAAAAGAAACTTATGGAGCCATCCTCCAAGTATTACTTTTTCTATTTGCACATAAATGGAGAGCTTATTAACTGGAAACATATAAACGGTGTAGATATTGACAAGGCCATGTCCCTGGTTATCATCCTCCTAGGGCTCTCCTCTTCTTTCTCTTCGGTTATGAGTGAGATAAGACTACAGTTTTATGGAAGTTCTGTAGGCAATCATGGGTGAACTGGTGTAAGAGGGGTTTTGGACTATGCAAATGCCATATTCTCTGCGTTTGTGGACAAAAGTTCTAGGCCATAGTTTCAAGGCGCCAAGGCGAGGCTAGGGGACAGGGTGGAATCTTGTTGCCTAGTTGCCTAGGCATCACCCAAGTTGATGGATTTTTTTTAATAGAACCATGAATCCTAGTGTAATTCCCTAGGTTCCATAGCAACCAGCAACCATGTCTCACTTATAATTCTATATAGGCTTCACATAAAAAAGTACGAACTTTGTATTAAAACATAGAAAATCAAGATATTCAAGAGAAGAAAAAGAAGAAAGAAAAAATTCAGAATATATAGTGGTTGCATCCCTATTGTTGTCCTATGAAAAGAAGTAAAGAAAGGGTGGAAGAAGAAGAAGAATGTCTTGATTGGATTTTTGGACTATTTTAATTTCTTCCTTGCTTATCGGTTTAGGTTTTGGAAGTTCTCATGGGTTCAAGACCATGCACCAATATGTGTGTTGATTGAAGCCTAACAAATAAGAAAATAATAAAAAGAAAGTAGTCTATAAACCCACAAAATGAGTAATTTAGTTTAATACTATCTTTTTTGTTATTATAATCTCAACAATAAATAATATACATAATATTTCACAGTGCCATTTACAAAATAGCTTTGTGTTTAAATGAGGTGACCTCCATGGGCACCTTGTCATCACCTAGGCGTTGTCTTGACAACTATTTTTTTCTTTTGATGAATAAGAACAAAAAAAGATTTCATTAAGAGAAAAAAGAATACAAAGGAAAGATGATAAGATATCACCCAAGAAAGAGGCACATCAAAAGACCCTTATAGAGGCAGCAACCATCCCAAATCAACCCAAAGCCACACAAACATACAAAAAACCAAACTTTACCAGAGGACAACTAAAAACCCCAAACAAGAAAAGAAAACCCCTAGAACTGAGACCACCACCAGACAGACAACTGAACCGACTAAGCCTCTACTTGTGATATGAGCATGACCTCAATCTTCATCCACTGGAGCATCTTCTTGCCCTGAATCGTCCTCATCCCAAATCTTGCCTCCTTCCAACCAAGCTTTTTTATTCAACTTCTCATCCCTTCTTTTCCTCTTGAACTCCTCAAAGGCCCTTCTAGCAAATTCCTCACCACCCCAAAAAAATAAGCCCAAGCTTTTACCAGTTGTTACCTCTCTTTCCACTAATTTCTGGATAGACGCGCCACCTGAATCATCCTCCTTTTTGCCGCTTGTTTTTAATGGCAAGTTCTCACCAGAGGCAACACCTTCAACACCCACCTTGTTATCAAAAAAATAAGCCCAAGCTTTTACCGGTTGTTACCTCTCTTTCCACTAATTTCTGGATAGACGCGCCACCTGAATCATCCTCCTTTTTGCCGCTTGTTTTTAATGGCAAGTTCTCACCAGAGGCAACACCTTCAACACCCACCTTGTTATCAAAAAAATAAGCCCAAGCTTTTACCGGTTGTTACCTCTCTTTCCACTAATTTCTGGATAGACRCGCCACCTGAATCATCCTCCTTTTTGCCGCTTGTTTTTAATGGCAAGTTCTCACCAGAGGCAACACCTTCAACACCCACCTTGTTAACTTGTTGCTCCTTCCCTAATAGGGGATCCGATGATTGAACCTGCATCGTAGACCCCCTTTGATCACTTCCAACTATCACATTGCCATTTGCACCCTTTCTCCTGAAACCCATTTGTAGTTCATTGTAGGATCTGTCCCGACTGGACCGAGCTTTAGCCTGAAAAAATATTTTGTTACAAGCACAACATTATGATTTCTTGAGCTGCGAATTTTTTTAGTATTCACCTGATCACCTCATTAGACGTCTTCTTCTCCTTCTCAATCTTGTTCCTTCGGCCCAAGTCTACACCCAGCTTTCCAACCAACGCCTCCTCAAAGCATAAATGGTCTCCGATATGACTCTGATTCTTATTTCTTCCTCCGGAAGCAACTATAATCCCCTATTCTCTGGTCGTGCTTTCCATTACGGGATTATCATCAGTGACAGACTGATCTTTCCCATCTTTCTTTTCTCCCTCCCCTAGCCCCCCAGGCCCCTTAGGAACGTCCTCCTCAAGGCTCGATGCAACTGTGATTGCTGAATTCTTGAGGATCCACCTTTGCATCCCCAGATTCAGAAATGGTGCAACTCTCTGCAGGCCTGTTGGTGGCAAGTAAGCACTTCCAAAGTTCGCTCTCCACCGCAGAAATCTGGCCATCAGCAAGAAAATCCCCTGGTTCCTTAAACCAACCTCTTCTTCCCACTTTTATAATATTTGGTGATCACCCAAACCCACCTCTTCCCCCTTTTCTTTTTAGACTCCAACGACGCACACCCTCCAGATGTCAACTATGGTGTAGGCTTCCTCATTGGAGCCGAATTAGTAAGTGATTACTTCCCTAAGTCACTGAGAAGACTTGGTTAATGCCATTCAATTGAGCAACACGTGGTATTGGCCATGCAGTCTTGTTCATTATCTCAATGGCATTATGGACATTTTGTCTTCTTTGCCTCTTCAAGGCTGATGGATTTCCTAGAGGGCTGAACTCAATTATTGATGGCCTTGTGATGTTGGGTGTTGGAAGGGCCCTTCTATATGGTGATAGCTCTATGCCTTAATAAGCTTGTCTTGTTGACAGATGGGACTTTTGTGCACCTTTTGATGCCATTGCCTTTCAGACAGGGGTGTTGATGAGAGAATGTTCATAATTTGATGATAAGAGGTGAACTTTTTGTTGGGATAAGGATTTGTTTAGTTGAGAGATGCATCTTTTGATACCATCTCTTCCCAGAGAGGTGCAACTTCTGATAAGAGTGCATCTTTTGATGATGAATAAAAAGACATGGTTATGGAATGGTTTAGATATAAATCAATCTTTTGATGGGTGCACTTCCAAAACTTAGTGTTTTCCATTCTGTAATTCTTCCAGTTATGGGGTATCCACTAAATTGTCTAGCAGTGCTTTGACTATGTTTACAGCCTCTCTTTTGCTGGTACTTATGCTCAACATTTTTTTGCTTGATCAGGTTTTGGCTTCTGAAGATGATTGTGATGCTTTGTCAACTGACCCTGATGAACTTGTTGATTCTGAAGACAGTGAAGGGATAAGTGGAGATGAAGAAGACATCTTTAGAAACCTTCTTGCCAGAGCTGGATTTCACCTTACATATGGAGATAATCCTTCACGGCCACAGGTTACTTTAAGAGAAAAGCTTCTAATGGATGCTGGTGCAATAGCTGGTTTTCTGACTGGACTTCGTGTTTATCTTGATGATCCTGCTAAAGTAAAGCGCTTGCTTCTCCCAACCAAACTGTCAAGTAGTAATGATGGGAAGAAGGAGGTCACACGAAGTGGTGAATCTTCCCCTAGTTTGATGAATTTGTTGATGGGAGTTAAAGTCCTGCAGCAGGCAATCATTGACTTACTTTTAGATATAATGGTTGAGTGTTGCCAACCTTCAGAAGGAAGATCTAGTGATGATTCTTCTGATACAAGCTCAAAGCTTTCCCCTGATGGCAATGGAGCTGCAAGTCCATTGGAACCTGGTGGAGAAAATGGGGCAACAGAATCTGTGCAATCCCCTGTAAATGAGAGGTTGGACTCTGGGGCAGAAGAAAGTACTAATACATATGCTGTACAAAGCTCAGACATGAATACAAATGATATGCCTGAAAAGACAGTTCCTGGACAGCCTATTTCTCCTCCAGAAACAACTGCAGGGGTTATCATGGATAGTGGTTTCATCCGAGCTCCTAAGGTACACTTTGGTTTACTTATGGGTTCATAGCATGTTTGGATGCCACTGGGAAGAAATCATTTTGTTATAGTTTTCATTGGCATAAACTATAGATGTCCTCATCCAACATATAATCCTTTCCTATTGTTGGAAAGATGGAAGGTTTCTTGAAATCCTGAAAGATTTCATTTCTTTCCTTGGAAACTTGAAATGGGTTCATTTTCTATGGTAAATTTGTGCTCATAAATGCATTAGAAAACAACACTAAATACATCCATTCAAGGGTCTTCCAAGCAAGATGTCAGTTAATGGATTTGTGAGCCAATTTTAAATGTATTAATAGGTTCATTAAATTGCTTTTCAGACAAAGTGGCCTGAGCAGTCAGAGGAGCTCTTGGGATTGATTGTAAATTCACTGAGAGCCCTTGATGGTGCTGTTCCACAAGGATGTCCAGAGCCTAGGAGAAGGCCTCAATCTGCACAAAAGATTGCTCTTGTATTGGATAAAGCTCCTAAATATCTGCAACCAGACCTTGTTGCTTTGGTACCAAAATTGGTTGACCATTCGGAGCATCCACTTGCTGCTTGTGCACTGCTAGGTCGACTTCAAAAGCCAGATGCAGAACCTGCACTGCAACTGCCTGTGAGTATTGTTTTTTTGGATGTCTTCTCCCCTTTTTAAGATATGATTTTCAACTTTTAGTTGTATTACAAACTTCAAACTATTCTTAATCTTGCATTATTTATTCTGTGCATCTTTTAATTTCTCTTTCAGGTTTTGGGAGCTCTTAGTCAATTGGAGTTTGGCAGTGAAGTGTGGGAACGTGTTCTATTTCAAGCTTTTGGATTATTGACAGATTCAAATGATGAACCACTTGCAGCAACCATGAATTTTATATTCAAAGCTGCATCCCAATGCCAGCATCTTCCTCAAGCAGTATGCATGCAGACACCTCACAAATCTTAAATTGAATATTTTCCTCTGAATTATTTTGTTAGCTGAAATTTGGAAATCACATGTATTACATTTGAAACTTGTTTTTTTTTGTTTTTTTTCACCTTGTAGGTGAGAGCTATTCGTTCCCGACTAAAAAGTTTGGGTGCTGAAGTTTCTCCATGTGTCCTGGATGTTCTAACGAAAACTGTGATTAGTTGGGCTGATGTTGCTGAAGCAATGTTGAGAGATATTGAGACTGACTTTGAGCTCAGTGAAAATTGCTCAGCAACAGCAACAGCTTGTGGGCTTTACTTGTGTGATGAAAGTGGACTCACTGCTGAAAAGTTGCATGCAATAGATGAGCAGGTTCGGCATGCAAGCCATCATTTTTCTGACATTTATATTCTAATAGAGATGTTATCCATTCCTTGCCTTTCTGTTGAGGCATCCAAAATCTTTGAAAGATCCATAGCTCAAGGAGCCATTTTGGATCATTCAGTAGCCATGGTCTTGGAAAGGCGACGTAGTCAGAGATTGAATGCTAGTTCAGAATCCGTTGTTCAGAATTTTCAGCACAAAGACATGGTAGCAGAGGGAAAATCTGATGAGTCATTGTGGAGCCAAGATGATTTTGCTTCAGTACTTGGTCTTTCTGAGACATTGGCCCTTTCTAGAGATTCCAGAGTGCATGGGTTTGTTAGGGTACTATATGTTATATTGTTTAAATTGTATGATGATGAAGGTTATCGTGGGAGGATGTTGAAAGGGCTTGTTGACCGTGCTACTAGCAGTACAGATAATTGCCGTGAAGTAGATTTAGATATGAACATTTTGGTATACTTAGTCCATGAGGAACAAGGAATTGTTAGGTCAGTTCTGAGCATGTTGAGGGAGGTTGCTGAACTTGCCAATGTTGATCGGGCAGCTCTCTGGCATCAGTTATGTGCTAGTGAAGGTGAAAATATTCGTCTTCGTGAAGAAAGGCAAGCTGAACTTTCCAATATGGTTAGAGAGAAAGCAATTCTGTCACAGAGGTTAAGTGAATCTGAGGCCACTAATAGCCGTCTTAAGGTACCTGATTTCATGCCTGAACTGATCATTATGATAGTTAAATACCATCATATGTTGCTGTTTTCTGTGGAGGTTAGGAGGGCTGATTCATTTGATAAAAATGGCAGGCTGAATTGAAGGCTGAAATGGACCGCTTTACACGGGAAAAGAAGGACCTTTCTGAACAGATACAAGATGTTGAGAGTCAACTCGAATGGCTTCGTGCTGAACGAGATGATGAAATTGCAAAGCTCTCAACTGAGAAAAAAAATCTTCAGGATCGTCTTCATGAGGCAGAGACACAACTTTCACAGCTAAAGTCCCGGAAACGTGATGAACTGAAGGTAAATTACTAGTTGAAGTTTCAGTAAATTTTCTGCAGATTCGCACAACATATTGATCACTTTTGGAAAATATAATAAGGTTATAACTCTATACCCAATGTTTATCCCATCTATCTGGGGTCTTGGGAGGGGTAGACTGAGTACAATCCTAATCTTTGGCGGTTTTTGCACAAAGTGGCCGCCCTCAAACTTGAACCCATGTTCTCACTCTTGCCTACCTGAGATTTTACCAGTATACCAAGTAATGGCCCCTGATTACTTTTGGAAAATGAAGGTTTAAAATCTGTGGTTTTGCATCCAAGTTGGGTACATTGGTGTTGTGAACAGTCATCTCATGCACTATTTCGTGAATTGGACATTGACATCATTGGTCTGCCTCCTTGTTATGAAAAAAATTCTTTGTTTCTCTTGTCCTTTAGCACCAAATAGATTGCCGATGGGATGACACTCCATATCCATTTTCCCTGCTTGCCGAATCCAATGACATGCCAACTCTGAATGGTCTCCTGCAGCGTTTTGAGGGTGGACTTTTTTTGAGGTCCTTAATGACTTGTACTTGTACAGCGATTCATTGTACAGAGGACCATATACTTTTGATTTCATATAATATACTTTACCTTTCTTAAAAAATAAAAAAGGGAACACAAAATGATATTCAGTCCATTCAATTAGTGTTCACAACTCACATACCTTTGTGCTAAAAATAGCAGTGTATAAACAGGTGGTTGACCTTTACCTTCCTCTTGTGACACAATACACAATTATATGAAGTGAGTTCCATCTGTTGTTTAGAAAGTTGTTCTCTAGTTAAATGTTTTCCCAGGATTCTTGACCACATCATAAAGGCCATTTTTTATGGTCCTTTTTGTTTTGTTAAATGTAGGATTGATGTTTAGGAAGAGAATTAAGTTTTGGGATGGCTAAGAGATTGGCTTATCTTTAATCCTTGGAATTCCTATGTCTGCTTGTCTATCACAAGGTGGGTGAGTTGTTGTTCAGATAAGAGGCAGTGGCAGTGTGACACAAGTGGTTGGGCACTTAAATGTTAAAGAGAGTGACCTTGTTATTAATTTTTTAAGAGCCACAGGTAGAAAAGATCATCATCATCCAAGCTTATCTCGTCCCAAAAGGAAAAAAGGGTTTTAAATGAGGGGTCTTTTAAGTTCGAAGAAATATTTAGGGTTGACCAAGCTCAAAATCCACTCGGGGTGGATTCTATTTCTTTTAACAAGATTAGGGCCTCAGACAAAAATTCAGGAAGCTCAAATTTGGATGAAAGTTTCAGATGTGTCCAAGAGAATACCACAAACGTTTTTGGAAGGGGAGAATACAGATGCTATGTTACGCATTATCTTTACGCTGGTGGTGACTCGAGGAGAAAGGTTCATCTCAACAGAAGTGTGTTGAAGACAAGGATGTAGAACTCACCCCATTTCAACCGAGGGAGCCTAAGGGGGATATTGTCCTGAGATTTGAGGCAGAAAAGGAGTTGATTGACTATATACTGTTAAACTGAGTTGTCATGGAAGACAGAGCTTCTGGTTCAAAGGTTTGTGATCTTGACCCTTTTTTATTTTCGGAGTTTGACCAAAAGAAAGATGAAGTTGGTGAAGGCATAGGGGTTCCAGATCCCACTACTAGCCCCAGTGTGGGATTAACCCAGAGTCTAGTTCAGCTGAACATTCCTCTATTTTCTAGGGTGACTCTGGAAAACTGTTCAAGCTTGGAAAGGATAGAGGGAATTTTAGAAGAGGGACTCCACCCTGTTATGGTTGGCCCTGAATCTGTAGAAGAAATTGGAGAGAAAGAAAGGAGAAGAAATAAAGTGTTTTTGTTGGTTGATTCTGATTCTAAGGTTTACTTAAGGAAGAGATCTTCTCGAACAAGACCTTCAGCAGAAGAAGAAAAAGTGTAGGAAGGTGATGACTCTTCTGACAAGGATGAGAGGTTAAGTGAGGCAACTGAGGAGGAAGTTTATTTGGATAAAACACACTACATCGACAAGACCAATGACTTAAACAAAGTGGTTGATAAGGCAGCGGAGGTAGGTAAAGCTCTAGGTTTGCTTGTGTAGGGAGGTGAGCCTTTCACAAGAAAGATGTTTAAAGAGATAGAGGAATGATATGAGATGCCTGGAAGGGGAGAATGATGGAGTTTTTCAAGCACATCCACCTTTGACTGATGAGAGTTGTAATGACTTGAGTACAATTAGACCGGAAGAAGCTGATAATGAAAGAACTACAGCATTGGTTGATGCTTAGTTCTTGGAAAGAACAGTCCTGGAGCTGGAAAGGATTAATGAGAACTCTTCTTGCTCGTTTCCAGGAAGATTGTTGCAGAAAATGGAAGACTTTAAAAAAACATAGAAATGTTTTGGGTTTAAAGGCTTTCACTAGACTAAAAGGAAGTCTCTTTGGGATTGGACCAAATAAGAAGTTGCTGAAGATCAAGAAAACCATAAGAAGATATTAGTTTTTAGTGGATCAAAGGTTGTAGCTTGTGAGATGGTTGTGGTTTTCTTTTCTTTTTTCCAAGTTTAGATGTATGCTGGTGGGGTTTTTGTGGTGGTTCTTGTCTTTGTTGGTTTTGAGTTTTGTCTTTGGGCTGTTTTTGGGATCCTTTGCTGTTGTAGAGCTTTTGTATTGGGGTGATTCTGTGGGTTCTGGTTTCTTCTGGCCTTTTTGAGGCTAGGCTGGCTTGGAGTGCTTGTGTTGAGCTTTGAAGTTCTGTTTTGTCCCTCTTCTCTCTCTCTCTCCAGTGACTTCTGGTCATTCTTCTCTGTAATTTCTTTTTCATTTTAATAAATTTTATTTTATTACCAAAAAAATCATCCAAGCTTATCCTAACTATATGGGGTCAGCTACATGAATCCTGTTTTGCCATCAATTCTAAATTCGGACCCATGATCAAGAGAGTTTGGCAAAAATTTTAGCACCAGTTGCCAACCTGACACAACCCTCCTATATCTGGGATTGGAACCTGTGGTGTAAGACAAGCTCAAACTGGTGGATCCCCAAGCAGAAAAAGATAAAAGATTAAAAAGGAAAGATAGGCCTCACTAGTAAATGCAGCAATATCCTTGTTATCATATTTGCAGTCTCAATTTACTCACCACCAATCTGCCTACGCATCCATTTTCCCACTTCCCATTAGTGGAATATAGGACCAAACTTGCAATTTCAAATTTTCTAGTTGCTGCTTTTCTGGCCAGACTGGAAAATGAAGCATAGGGTTGAGTTGATGCCAATTTAACTAATTATTATGTACCTTTCCATTTTGTACTACGTCATTATAGGCTTGGTGCAATTATTTTGTACTAAAAAATCTGCATAATTTATATTTAGAACTTGCATTACTCTTGTTTTTTTTTTTCTAAAAAGATACGAGGACTGGCTCATATTTCTTCCGAAGTATGTTTATGCTTTAAGTGTCTATGACTTGGTTCTACTGTATAGCTATTATTGTGGATTTCTTCCTTTTGATTGTGGACTAAATTAATCTAAATGTGGAATACAACCTTCAAATGGTAGAGAGTAGTGAAGGAGAAAAATGCCCTTGCTGAAAGGCTAAAGAGTGCGGAAGCTGCACGGAAAAGATTTGATGAAGAACTGAAACGTTATGCCATGGAAACTGTTACTAGAGAGGAAGTGCAGCAGTCACTTGAAGATGAAGTCCGACGGTTGACACAAACAGTTGGCCAAACTGAAGGAGAAAAGAGGGAGAAGGAAGAGCAGGTTGCTCGATGTGAAGCGTACATTGATGGGATGGAAGCAAAATTGCAAACCTGCCAGGTATGCCTCTTCTCGTTTATGGAACTTTTGTGGGTTTTATTGCTTGGATAGATTTGAAACTTATATTTATAAGGTATCTATATTATTATTATTGTTCCCTCCAAGCATACCTTTTGTGTAGCAACTGGCAGCCTTGGACTTATCTGAACTGATATTGATTTGAGTATTGTGGACTAGCACAATTGCTATTAGATTGGACATGAAATTTTAAAATCATTGTAAATGGGGATGGCCAAATGTACCAAAGCCATCCTTTTGTGACCAACCAATTTCCCTGCATATTTCTTTAAATAGACCTAATTAGTATGTGATCATGTCTAAGGAGATCTTGTTCATTTATTGCATGCAGTTTTTTGTTATTCTTTATTATGAAAGTGGCCTGAGAAGGTTGATTATGAATATTTCTTACGTTGCACCTCATATTTATTGAACTTTTAACTTTTAATAAGTGGTCCTGCACTCCTGCTGTTCTCTACCTCCTTTATTTTACTTGCCATGTAGCATGTGCGGATCTTGGAAAAACTACATGTTATCAATAGATTAACAGTAAAGGGGAGTTATGAAATATGAAAAAGATAAATCAAGAAAGAAAGAAAAAAATAAGAGCACAAGCACAAATATAACAGAAAAGAGGGTCAATGAAAGTCATGAAAAGGCAACAGAATATGTTTACTTTTGGTGGGTTTTCTTCAAGTTTCATCCATCCATTCCTAGAGATACATTCCAATCGCTTGTAAGCATGTCATATTTTTATACATTATTTCTGCATTTTTTTGGCAATATTGGGAGAAACTGAAATTATAGCAAGAACTTGCAGTGATGTTGAAAGAGTTGGCCTGGCTAGATAGGTTCTTAATGGTTAACATGTTATAAAAATTGAAAATTGTTGAACATTTATCAAAAAAAATTGAAAATTGTTGAGGCATTTGAACAGTGTGGAATGGAACAAATTTTTTGATTGGTAACAACAAAATATAAGAAATTTTACTGATTTATGAAATAAAGAACTGATACCAGTTATTAATTTATGTATTAAAATCAACTTTCTGAAAGTGAAAGACTAGAGAAAACAAATCAATTTACTTTTTTTTTTCCCAAGATCTCCATAATGCATCTGATTATTTTAAAATTTTCTTTTGAATTGTACTAGTTATAGATTGATCCACATGTTCTATGCAAAATAATAGATCTGGAATCACACTGCTCCCTTGTCTACTGTTTTAGCACTCGAAACTGGATCTATTAGGTACTGGTATGTGTGAATTGAATTGTTCTTTTAGGGCTGATTGAACTTCATTTTTTGATATAGAATTAAAATATTGATACAATACGCCCTGTATCAGGCATATTGTATCCATATTGGTGCATCCAGATATGCATGGATACACCAAGAGGTCCAAGACACAAGAATTTAAAAGGTTTTATTGCTTTGGGCATCCCTCCAATGCTAATAAAATAAAAAATAAACATAAAAACAAAATGGTGCATCAGTCAGATCAATACACACTAATATCCAACGTTGGGTACCAGGTGTATTGATATTTTAATCCTTGATATAGAGAAGTAGATGCCCAAGAGGGGCGTGAGATCCAATTACGGTTTCCATCCTTAAGAGGGGGGCTTTTTTGGATGAATAATATCCTTAAGTGTTAGGCTTTCCCAAAGAGACCTTATCTTTTGCTCTTGGATTGCAATCTTCAATCCATTCTCTCTAATCTAAGGTTAAGATTAGAAAGACTTCCTAATTGCAAAAGTGCCAAGCTGAAGCTAGGCGATAGGGGAGCGCCTTGTTGCCTAGTCGCCTAGGCGATGGGTTTTTTAAAATAAAACATATAAATCTTAGGGTAAATCCCTAGGTTTCATGGTAATAAGTAGTGATCTTTAACTAATAATTACCATAATTCTCATGAAATAGGTATAAATTCCATATCAAAAGATAGAAAATCAACACATTTATGAGAAGAAGAATAAGAAAGGAAAGAAAATACAGAACATAAGGGTTGAGCCCTTGTTTTGGTCCTAGGAAGTCCTATTGATTGTTCTTGTGTGTCAATTGGATAAAATCTTCAAGTTATTTCTTATTTATCAATTCAGGTTTTTAAAGTCCTAAAGGGTTCAAGACTATGTCACTGACTTGTCTGTCAATTGAACATAAACAAATAAGAAACTAACAAAAAGAAGCTAGTATAAGAATAAATATTAATACTATAAACCCACAATATGAATAATTTACTCTAATAATGTCTATTTTATTACTATTAATAACATAAAATAAAAATATAAAAATGTTGTGTAGTGTCTTACATACAAATATGTAGGTGTTTGGGAAAAGTGACCCTCCAAGAACGCCTTATCACCTAGGCATAACTATGGTGAAATGACAATTCTGTCCTTCTACACAATAGTTTTTAAAGCGCCAAGATGAGGCTAATCAACAAGGGAGCGTTGTATTACCTACTCATCTAGGCGATGCTTTTTTTTAATAAAAACCATGAGCCCTAGAGCGATCCCCTAGGCTCTATTGCAAGCAGCAACCATCTTTCACTAGGCATTGTCTATAATGTTCACAAAAATGTATATTCATTTAAAACATAGAAATTCAACATTTTAATGAAAAATAGGCCTGTCAACGATGCTCGAAAATCTGAGGCCCAATCTGACATCCGATGTGATTATCTCGGATTCAGATGATGCATATATATAATTGGATTGGATTTAACCCCATCCTATCCGATTAAAATCCAAATCTGATTATATTATAATATTTATTGATTTTAATATATAAATTTTATATAATTATATTTATAATTAAAAAATATATATTTTATATATTATATTATATTATATATGAATATATGTATAATATTTAATAAACCCAATATGTTATATTTACACTAATTTATTACATATAAAAGTTGAAAAGTAATTAAATTTTTATTTTTTGGTATTTTAAAAAGTTATAGTAGAATCAGATTAAATCCATATCCAATCCAAGTTTGTTAGGATTCAAATTTGAATCCCAGGTCTTCAAGTCCGATCGGATTCGGATGCACTTTTTTTTTTATCAATGAATATTCAGATTTATTAAATCAAAGTCAAAGATAGTACAACTTAGGGAGAGGCACGAGATGCTACCTCCTCTTTAAAGAGGGGAGATGGAAGAAACCATCAACCCTTTAGTTAAAGAACATAACAAAGGAAAAAGAAAATTACAATGAAGCCCAATACAATGAAACCCAAGTAGCCCCTTGTTTAGCAAGATAATCAGCCAAGGCATTAGCCTATCTACCCAGCCATTGAACTCTAACTGTCATGCCCCTCAATAGCCATTTAACCTTTTTTAAAATATCCTTAAAGTTCCAAGTGAGAGTACCCGAGTCAGCCAACCATCCTACTACCACCTTGGAGTCTCCTTCAATTATCAAGTTTTGCACTCCGAGTTGATAGGCAATCTGTACCCCCTGTGCCGCAGCTAGGAGTTCAGCCCTCACAGAGTCTCCTATTCCCGCCGGTCCCGAAAAAAGGCAATGATGTTGCTGTTCTCATCTCTCAGTACACCACCAATCCCAGACGGTCCTGGGTTACCCCGACTACTTCCGTCAAAGTTCAGCTTAATAAAACCCTCCCTCGGCGGAGTCCAAGTTACTTGGACTCTAGGCTTCCTAGAGGAAGTGAGGGCAACCGCAGACTAATTCCTCATTAAATCCTCAAAGGAATCATCTTCAAAGAGCTTTAAGGATTTTAGCCATAAAATAGTCCTTGTAACAATACACTCTTTGACCTCAAGAAT